AATCTTCCTGAGCGATCAATTTAATTTTCTGTCGGTTTTCTTCGATTTGTGTATTACATATTATTGTTTCTTCTCTGTCTTCTAGAGAACTCCCTCCTTCTGTGTCGTTTTTATTCTCAGAGTATAACGACGAACGATTAATTTGCCCTACTCTATTTTTTGTCTCAAAAGGTAGGGTGGTATTTATGTTAAAATTACTTAAATTTACTGTACAGTTGGTATAATCTATCTTCGCCTCATTTTTTGACAAAAAGTCGGTGCCAAGAATCAACGGCTTCGATAATTTTTCCACTACCAGTGCTAATACGTAGCCTTTTATATTTCCAATTTCCAAATTCACTTCTGATGTACCCAGAGTTTTTATTCGGCCACCTCCCGCAACTAAAAGGTGGTGATGTTCGCATACTGGTTTCAGGTGCTGGACCAAACTACTATCTACTACGCATTGACTTGCCCCCGTATCTAAAATTATTTCTATATTCCTATGATTATTTACAGTCCCAGTAATTTTCAAAATATTTTGGGATGGGTTAACCCCGGTTTGCAGGACGACTTCTTTGGGGTTTTTTAGTTGAGCCGTCCGAATGCATTTGGGGAAAGCGATCTAGAAAATGACACTCTTCTTGTGTCGTTTTGATTGCACGAATAATGACCACTTCTGCCGCAATCTTTGCATCTTGGTCTCCCGTCACTACTTCTTGTGTTTGGGAGGTTGGACCGTTGATAATTTCCTCTGTAGCCACCCTGGTAACCGCCGCGGCCTCTTCCTCTTGACCTGTTGCTTCCGTAATTATTCCCGTAATTATTTCCGTTGTTTTGATTTACATTGTAATTCCCTTGTCCTTGGCTGCTTCTGTTCCAATTTTGTTGATGACCCCTTTGATATGTCATGTTTTGTCTCCCAGAGCTATTATGGAAGTCTGTACGATTGAAATTTCTATTATATCTCCCATTATTTCTGGTTATAAAATTTGAATTTAAATTATCAGGTGTCGAATAATGATTATTGGCATTGTTTTCCCTGGAATTTGTGTTGTGGTTATCATTAATGTTGAGAAGTGAAACTTGTGACGTCATTTGATTAACTAACGCTCTTTCTCTTATCTCGCTTAGTTTGAGCACGAGCGCCTTTAGGTCCTCATAGGTCATTCCTGGTTTGCACATTAGATGATATGTTTCGTAGAAGGTCGTATGCAGACCATTTTCGAAATATTCTCTGAAATTCTCAAATGGCATCTTTTGGTCTACTTCATGGGCAAGGCCTATAAGTTCATAATAATACGTTTTAATGTCTTCATTAGGTTGTTGTTTTCTTGATAACAATCTTAATTTCAGCTTCCTAAACGGTTGTTCCCCGCTAAATTCTTTAACAAAATCTTGCTTTATTTGCTCCCATGTATTGTTTTCATTCACAGTGGCTGCTGAATAATCATTATACCAGTAATAAGCAGGCCCTTCTAGGAAATTTCCTAAATATGATATTTTCAAGGAATCTGTCCAACCATTGCAAATTGAAATTCTTTCATACTTTGTTATAAATGTTACGGTTGAATCTGTGCTCGGATTAAAGGTTGGTGGCTGAAGAAACTTAGGGACAGCTGGAGTTTTTGCCTCTGCAAGAGCATTTCCTAATGTGGTATTGTTTGCCATAGTGGAGTTTTCTTTACTTTTTATATTATGTGTTATTTGAGCCTGAGGTTTTTTTGTGTCTTGATCGAGTTTTCCTTTACTGTCTTTTCGAAAATGAAGTTGCTCTTTTTCTAGTAAGGGACTCTCGTGTTGGATTTCTTTTGTAGCTTCAATTACGGTTATGTTGGATACCGACTGATCTAGGGTCGTGTCCAAATCTTCCAGGAAATTTTTAGTCTTCGAAAAGTTCTCTGTGAAATCCTGAAATTGTTTCAATTCAAACGTAAAGTTTCTGGGCGGACTTCTGCTAAGTGATGGCCTAGGCGTAAGTATATCCTGTACAGGGATATCTGTTGTACTATTGTGGTCTGGATTAAAGTTTTTGTATTTAGATTGGTCTTCAACTGTTTCCTTGTCGTTATTTACTTTAGATTTACTCCTAGTTACTTTCGGCAGAAAATTGCTCATTAATATCGATTGATTTTTGGTGAGTTTCACCTTTTAAATAAATAAATTTTCACAAAAAGGCGCTATAGGCATTGAAATAAATGGGTTTTTTGAGGAATAATTATTGTATAACGATAATATAACAACAAACACTTTTTAGCTGAAAATTCATATGTAATGTGAATCTCTGAAAGGAAAATGTTTTGCTTATTTCGTCGGCTAGGCGCGCGGGTCGAATTACTTAATATTTTGCGTTCGCTGTAATAATTTTTTGAGTAGCTGATCAAGCTATGCCCTGGGTAAATACTGGTACATAGAATATTTTAAAATGGTATGTGTTGGGCATCATAAATAAAAAAATAACTACTAGAATCAAAATTGTGACGTTACCCAAACGTTAAATGGGATGAAGTTAATTAAAAATTGCAGAATGTTTGAATAGATTAAAACAACAAAAAAAATAAAATTTTACGAAATTCCTTGCAAATATTGAAATTGTGACGCTACCAAAAATTTTTTTTTTTAATTTTATTTCATGGGCTGAGAAAAAAAATTATATAAGAGTTGCAATCGTCAAAAATGAAATGAAATTTAAACTGAATAAAAGTGGTTACGTCAACAAAAATTAAAAAAATTATGTCTAATGTTCTCATAGGATTACTTTATTGGTTATTTATTACGTAAAAACGTCGAAAAATATGTTTTTTTTAATTTATAGTGAAAACTTGATTAGATGAAACCGGCAACCTCCACCATATGTCGCAGCCCTGTTCGGTTGAGACTGTTGCAATCTTATTTAGTTGCAACTAGGGACCGGGGGGAATCTGAGAGATTAAAACAATCAAGTTTTGTAACACCAAGAAAAATATTAATTTATTCTCAAAATCAATAATTAAATTAAGAACAGTAGTGTGAATGTTGTGAATGATGGCCGATGAGAACACTAGAGGATTTATTAAAGTTTAACAATGGTACTTACCGGAATCCCATCTTCCTGTAGCCCGTTAGCCCGTAGCACAACTTTTTTCGACTTTAACGCCCGAATTCAGATTTACAACTAACTTGAAAATTACGCTTTATCGATCCAAATCGATTCAGAAATGTCAGCAAAAAATCATTGACCTAAAACCTAGGTTGTTGGCTTTAAGCTTTTGCTGACTCTGAGTGCGTTTGCTTTATTTGATATAACATCCGAATTGCGCAACTAAATTGGGACATTATTAGTCAATGAACTTTGGTTAATTCGTATTGGAATAATAATGTTATAAAGGGTGATATTTTTTGGCTTGACAATATGGCAATAAAACGTAATAACTGGAAATAAAATGTAATAATTACGTAATAACTCATAATAGATGGTAATGACTATCACCAGTAATATGTGGTAATAAATTACGGAAATGGTAATAGGTGTACAAATTTTGGTGGGTGGTTGACCCCTCGGGTATATCACATGAAATCTGTTCAGAATTTGAAGTCAAATCCGAATATTGAATAATATACAGGGTATTCAATTTAAAATAAGAAAGTTGGAGCACGACCAGCTTTTTTGAAACATCCTGTATATGCAAAAGTGAGTTTTTCAAAAAATTTAATTTCAACCATAAATTTTTTATTTGGGACACTTTTTTCTAAAATGTCAAATAAAAAAGATACAGGGGGGTGACATTTATAGCCAATAACCCTGTACCTAAACAATTATATTGATGTTTAATTGATTGATGTGGAGAACTTTAAAAAAAGTAATTATCCCTAAAGAAAAAAAAATAATTTCAGGAGTAATATTTGATGATAAAAAAGAAACAAATCTTAATATGTATAGGAACCAGATTAAATATTTACTATACTGGGTGTCCGGAATAACTTTTTACTATCATTATTTAAACAACAGCAAGTGGTAGAACCGATGGATCTGCTGTAGTTATATGTTAAGTTCAAAAGATTGCTTATTAAATGAGTTTACAAGATGTCTGTTCAGTAGTTTACACAGAATAATGAATAAATGTCCTAGACTTCAAACTGAGATCGCTCTACTGAACGAGTTATTCATTCAATTCTCCAAGGAAACGCAAATATAATATTTAATATTTAATGAATTGAATAGTACGATTTTTTTGAAAAAATTTAGCCACCTAACTTCCAGAGATATAGCTGTATTGCCATATTTCAAAAACAAAATCAAATAGAAGTTTGGTTTTTAGGGGTTTCAAGTAATGTTGGAACGCTAAATTAATAAAAATTAAGATAGACTTTCATTTAAAAAAATTAAGTTACACATGTACATTTTTCTTAAGATTAGGCTGTTTCCATACATAACGACCACTCTGTATAAAATGTTACAATTCTATTACAGTACAACCTCAATAATCCGAACTAATTATTGCTAAGGTCAGTTCGGATTACCGATTGTTCGGATTATCAAAATGCGTGGTAAATTTACCTTAAATATGCAAATAATCAAAAATAAGCTTTATTTTTTAAGACAAATAAATATAAATGTACGTAATTAACTCTGAGTTTAACTTAGGTTAGACGAGGTCGGCCAGTTATCCGCCGACCAATATAATTATAAAACGGTAATTTTATCTTGCAGATAGTTAGGTACCAGGAAGATGAATAAACCGAGCTTTAGAATAAAAATGTTCTCAGCTGTTTCAGAATTTTTTTCTGCTCATTTTAAACAAGTCTGTAAACATTTTACTGCTTCTCTGTGAGTCACATTGGTCCGTACGATTTCTTCAGATTCTTCTTCGGATTCTTCTGATCCGGCTTTGAGAACATTATTACATATTAAATTTTACATAGCGCGCTTAGCGTAATGCGGTTTTCAGCAGTTGTTCGGTTTATCAAGATTTGTTCGGTATAGCGGAGGTTCGGATTAACGCATGGTCGGATTATTGAGGTTGTACTGTATTATGAATTACCTCAATGAAAATCTCAATTCATTTTTATCTTCATATCTTTGCTGAGATGAATCCACTTTGCCTCCTCTGCCATCCAAATGTTCATTCAATTCTTCTATAAATGATGGATCGGACCCATTCACCCAAGTATATACCACATCGATGGGTTCATTGTATATGCAACTATGTTGATTTGAATGGCTTAACTGGAAAGTGTTTATTGGTTTTATTTTCAGTTTTAAAGCAACATAGACATTGGAATTATTCATTAAATCTGTATTAAAGTCTCGATTAAAGTTGAACGCAAAATTTATAATTTCTAAATTTAACATACCTCTACGATTTTAATGGTAAAATATACAACAGCGATAGATACCAAGACGCCCAATATCATGAACATGTACCCATTGCTTCGTTTCAAATTTGGAATTTTTAAAATCTTAACCATTTCCGAAATATTTCAAAAAATTCCTAGTAGTGAATTTCGTCAACAAGAAATAAGTTTCATTTTCGCTACGATGCTTATCGCGAACGCGTAAAGTAGTGGTGTTTATCATTATTTACTGTGCCAACAAACATAGGAATTGTTTTACAAATCTATTTCATTTTATTTGTATTATTTATTGCTATTTGTTTGTTTACACATATGAAATTTAAAATTTTGTTCTTTGTTTGTAAGAAAGAGATAACCAGCCTAGTGTCAACTGGAACTGTCAAGAGTTGATTCCTTTCCTTTCAAGAGTTTGAAACTCTCTAGCTACTCGCTCCGGTGTCAGTCGACACCGATTTGAAAGGAAGAGATGCGTGGTGCGAGGTGCAACAAACACTTTTCGAAAGGAATAAGCGCGTAACACCCCGGATCTCTTCCTAGAGGGGTGAAAGGAATACAACTATTGATGGCGCTTTTCATTTCGTGTTGCATTGCAGTTTTTGTGGTTAGCTCAAGGATGATATACACCTACAGGATTGCTTATCGGCCTTGTTTTTGGTAATCGCCCGCCATACTAGTGTGTCACCATTTCCAACGTCATAACAAGTGATCAGCTGTTTAAACAGCCTACGTCAAGGCGAGAAATAACATGCTTTTACGTCACAACTGGTATTTTGGAGGGTTGGGGGGAGGGAAGGATTTGTTATACACAGGCCTTATGAGCCTACGTAGGGTTTCTATAAAGGTTCTTCAGAATTCAGGACAAGGAGTCAAGAAATCCGGACTTCGCCGAAAAATTATTTAAATTTTTTATAAAGGATGAAATTATGTCTTGTTTGCCTTTATACAGGGTGTCCCACGGTGGATGGCGTATTAGACGTTTATGGAGAACTAAAAAGCGGATCATTTTGAAAATTTGGCAACCGGGGTAAACAGCCATGATCTACACTTTAAAAATATTTTTGTTTATGCGGTGTTGCCGCTTCTACTCTAAACCAGTGGCAACAACGCTATTTTAAATGGAATACCCTGTATGTGATTACATAATTTTGATTCTACGTAAAATTCTGAGCAGATTTCATGTATACGTATATACCTAAGTTCAACTGTTTTGGAATTATTGACAGTTGAAAATTGACTTTTTGCAACTTTGACAGGCTGTAAAACCTGAACGGTTAATTTAAGAGAAAAACCAATTTCACATTCCTATCTTACATTTTCATGAACTATCATTTGACATCAACTTTGAATTTACCCGGAGATTAAATTTAATTGGAATTTTTAATCACTCCACACTAATCATAGTTTAAACGGACTTGGGAATCCTGGGATTCACCTTGGATTCACCGATACCGATAGTACTTATCGCGCAAATTCCCGATTAAAATCAACCATGAGTCAATATATTTCCATCTCACTCTATGTCATAATCATAAGTTGTATTCAATTGTATTCCTTTCACACCGAGGAAGGAGCAGCTCCGGAACAGCTCCGGGGCGTTACACGTTTATTCCTTTCGAAAAGTGAATAGTTGTATTCCTTTCAAGAGCTTGAAACACTCGAGCTACTCGCTTGGGTGCTTAGTCGCCCCCGATTTGCAGGGTGCAACAAACACTTTTCGAAAGGAATAAGCGCGTGAAGCCCCGGAGCTGTTCCGGAGCTCCTCCTAGGTGTGAAAGGAATACAAGTTTTGTTGCACCTGAGTACTCAAGCCCAGTGTTGCCAAATCTGACGAATTCTCTCTGTAGTAATACAAATCAGTAATCAAATATAATGTAATCGGAAATAATCGAAATAAAAATCTACTATACAATATTTATGGCCGTTTGCACCGACCATTTTAAGGAAGCCTTAGCGATAAGCATTCCTTAAAGTGACATTTCTCCACGTAAAAATGTCATTTTAAGGGATACTTATCGCTAAGGCTTCCTTAAAATGCTCGGTGCAAACGGCCATTAGTTATGTCACGCCGCTCCTGGTACATGCGCGCTCAAGAACACTTTACCTAATAGCATCGCATATACAAAAACAATCAGCAGGCTAACTTGAGCTTTGTATCCCAAAATGGCGGCGTGCGCAGATGAGATGGGCGTTAAATCTCATTGTTTTGCCATTTAAAGATAGGCTGTATCCTCGAATGGTGGCGTGCGCAGAAGAGATGCGCTTGAGAGTTAACCTGCTGTTTGTTTTTTTATATCCTGTGCTAATAGGACTGTTTATTGAGCTGAAAGTGTCTGCGAAGTCCACGAGACCGCACTATTTGTGACGTCAGCTGCAGACCTCAACTCTTGGCAGAAAATGCATTATCAGAGTCCAAAAAAACGAATTCATAAACGTTGAAATCGCCTTTTCCTAATTCACCATATTAGTTAGGTTAGGAAAAATCGGGCGCGAAATTTAAAATGGGTTCCTAAACACATTTCAACAAATTTGACAGCAATGTATTTCTTATGGGGGATTCAAAAGAGTGATTTTCAGACGGGAATATCTTGGGTTCTGGGCATTTCTTTTATTGGAACCTATTGTATGTCAAACTTTGAACATATTTCTCTATAATTCATGCTCTAATTGTTTTTTTAGACCTATGAATTAAAAATACAAATGATTTTAATTAAAAGTGTCTGTTTTCGGTGGACGTACGTCAGGTCTAAAACCAGCTGAGAGAAAGTGAGGTTGTGTGTTGTGTTATGATTGTTGGTGAATTGTTTATTTATTTATTTATCACTAGTTCAGTCATTTATTTTTCAATTTTTTTGGATTATCGAAGTACATTTACTGACCAAGTATGTAGGTAAACTTTTATTTTATTATAATTAGGTACTCATACTTATCGATCAAGCAACGACATACGTATTTTATACAAACATCGGTTTCTTAAATTGGTAATTTTTTTATTTTAACAATGTTTATTCAACTTTCAAACACTCTCTCAGTTAATTAACATAATAAAAAAACTATTTATACAACTCAATTCCGTAAAAAACGTTCTATCACGTCTACAGACGCTTTTAAAATTGAGTCCCCATAAGACATCAATGTATTAATTTTTGAACTAGGAACCCGCGCCAATTTTCGATTCTAACCTAACTAATATGATGAATTTAAAACTACCAATAAAATTAACTCACAAGCACAGTTTGAATCGCAAGCCATCCATCGAGGTCTGCGGGTGACGTTACTACTATCAGTTGCTGATAGTAGTGACGTCACTCGCAGACCAGCTGCCGACTCGAAAATTGGCGAACGTGCGCTTTTTTAGGATAAGCAATCCTGCGGATAAAGCCTAGTTTTCATGCATCCGTTTATCCGTCAATCCGTTGATCCGAAAGTATTCCTATTGGCCCAATATTTTGGCGCCAGAATCCGGAAGTATTCCTATTGGTCCAATATTCTGGCGCCAAAATATTGGGCCAATAGGAATACTTTCGGATCAACGGATTGACAGATAAACGGATGCATGAAAAGTAGGCTTAATGAAAACGAGGTTCAGCTCTCAGAAACACCTGCTAAAAAACGGAAAAAACAAGGATACAAGATTTAATAATAAAATTTCAATATCTTATGGATGTAAAATCATGTCTACTCTATCAAAAATCTATTGCAGAACATTGTGCATTATTTTCTTACAAGCAATTTTAGGTCTCACGATTTTTCTTTATCGATTCTCACTATTTCTCACGAATTTTTTTTATTTCATCTGGCAACACTGCTCAAGCCCAAATCGGGGTCGACTAACACCGGAGCGAGTAGCTCTAGTGTTTCAAACTCTTGAAAGGAATCAATAAAGTCTGTTTTTTTTTAAACATAAACCTATCTATTTTACCAGACAAAGAGGAAATAATACGAAAACTTCATCAGATAAAAAAAGACACAGAACGCTCATTGCGCAAGACGAGGCGAAATGTACCAAATTATGTTAGACTTACGTATAGCAATTCGTTCTTCTTATTTAAGCCTAGTCTCCATAGACGCGAAATCGCGGAAAGCGAATTTTTTAAGTGTCATTTTTTGGTGGCTATTTCCGAGCAAATTATTCCCATGTCTCCATAAGCGCGAAATTCGCGTTTTATTTAACAGGTTAAGGTTACCTATGTGTTGTTGTTTTGATTTGATTTAAATGCTTTGAATTTCAAACACTAATCTTTGAAAACCATGAAAGTGATTACTAAAAAACAAAAAAAGATATGTGTCTTGGTGTTGTCGTTGTCTTAATTACATTTAAGGCCCTATTATAATCTTCCTCATCGACCAACAAGCTGTAATTTATGTCTGTTTTCGGGTCTACAATATTCAATTCTTTGGCAGTATCCATTCTTTATTAGGTATCTACAAGTACAAAACACATCAACGACTCATAGAGAACAGAGCACATACCGACAAAAACATAAACAAAACTAAACTGAAAGTAACACCACATAACCTCATTTTTTTTTGGCGAAATTTCGCGGAAAGTTAAAAAATAGTTAACTTTTTTGCGACGCCGCAAGAAGTTAAAAAATTCGCGAATTTTTCCCGCCATAAAAAAATCAAATGTTAAATGTCAAATTCCAACCAATCGGAAAATATCCGCAAAAAAAAATTCGCGATTTCGCGTCCATGGAGACTAGGCTTTACACAGGATAAAAAGGGAAGGAGAAAGACCGCGTGCTGTGCATCGTATTTGACAATGAAAATTTCAAACAACTTTTGAATGTCACTCGTCAAGCTATGTCAAGTTGAATGTTAACCGTACTTTTATTCTTGTCAGACCACGGGGAATAAACAAAGACAAGGAGATGCCCAGCGTGCAAAACGAACATCTCACACGTACTAGTTAGCCAATAAAGAGGCATTGCCTTGTGTTGCGCGCGCATACCAGGTAAAAATAGATAGGTCTATTCCCCAAGTCAAAAATTTAGTAACTTTGTTGGTAACACAAGCCTTTTCTACACAAAAATTTGAAAACATTGACAATTTTACATTGTATTGCCAACATAATGTCATTTTGACTTTTATCTTTAAAAAAAAAACAGATTTTAGTTAAATTTGTGAAATGTCAAATTTTTAGATTATTCATCATGATTCTCATAAAACTCTGACGTTTTGACTTGACGTTTTTGTTCTGCAAGCTGCTTAGGCAATCTGATGGCGTTTCCGATTGGTAGATTCAATGCGCACTGAGTGTATTTGCATCCTTTTAATCGACTTGTAGAAGAAAAAGACAGAAACAGAAATAATTGCACTAGTTCTGCAC